ACTACAGATATCCGCGGAGGAAATCCTTTTGTAGCTAGGTCGAGGATATGTTGAACAAGTACTGATTCCTCTAGCTCGGTAATTTTCCGTGAATTGGCTAAGATATCGCGTCGTGAAGGTATACCAACCAAACGTCGACCTAGCTTCCGGTGGTCTACAGAATAGGTCCTGGCAGCAGCTCGAGCACGTAAATTTGGGTCTTTTTGCATAGCTTGGATAGCTAAGACTAACCGGCTTTCGTCATTCTTCAGAGGCATCCTTCGTTGTAGAGAAATTTAATATTTCGTGGAGGTGTGGTGGGGTCGCCGGGTTTTGGCCGGTTCGCTTGTTTGGCCGGTTCGCTATACATGCACGTTATAGAAAGTCGATCTTTAATTAACATATACCCCTCGCCTCAAAAGTAAATAAAGTAACCTAGTAATTAAAGTATAAAATAATAACTCCTTATAAGTCCTTTATGCCTAAATAAAAAGTGAAGCTATTCTTAAATACTATTATTTTGCTTTTGGTTTACGTCCGGTACTAACTCTTGTACTACCACGTCCTTTTGGCAGCGTCTATATTGAATAAGAGTGGATTTATTAGGGTACTAGGAAAGTGAGGAGGGCTAGGGAGTATAGTCCTTTATATAAATTAGCTGTTGTTATAGTACCAACAACTTATATTCCATTCCTTGTTCTATATTTACTACCCTACTTTTTCTATACCCTTGTAAGACATAAAAAAGGCGTATTATGGAATAGAGTATTATATTTGTGACTGCTATAATGACAACCCTCAATTCTATGGTATTACGGTTATAATAGTCTAATTGATCAAAGGGTGGATTTGAGCGTTACCATATCACAGTTGGAGTACTTATAGTACTCGAACAGGTGGGTCTTGTCATGTGACATAAATAAAAGGGGATCGAATATATCCTAACACAACCCTTTAACAAAAGGAATGTAGATTTTATAAACGATTTTTAAAAACTATAACAAATCTCTTTAGAAGTGTCCTTGCCCTGTAGATCTTATTACTAACTATTCTAGAATCGGACTTTACTATAAATCTCTCCGGGGCCCCTCTCTGCTAGTATTTAGATTTTTATATTGTTATATTTATAGTCCTTATCTCTCTATACTTCTCTCCAAAGCCTATCCATTAAAATTAGTAAGTTCTCCTTTCTATTCTATTCCTAATTAATCGATACTCCTTATCCTAGCTAGGGTACCGGATGACCATAACCCTAACACTCTAACACCCCCCTTCCTACCCTCACGCCATTCACAAATCCACCTACAAACCCCCTCAACAACCCAACAACCTATCCCTAAACCCTTATAGCTCTCTCCTATTCTCTCTTACTAACTACACCCTAACCTACCCCCAAATAAACCCAAAAAACACAACCCCATCATCCCCGATAATCGACCAACGAAATACTAACCTTAAGAAATACGAAAATTAGACTCTTTCCCCTATCCCCACTATTATAACCCTCATTCTTAACACGGAAGTATATTCCAATCTATACTCTTATACTCTGATGAGGAATAGTCCGCTATGACTATAATCCGCTCAATACAATGAAAAAGAAGGTCGAAACAAAGCTACTATGATGTCTATTGTCGAAATCAGCGCGGGTCGAAATAAAATCTATCCATTCCCCCCTTCCCTACCTTCTTCACTACTATCAATCCAAAACTAAAACCACGGGGAAAAAAAGAAAAGAAAAGAAGAAATAGAAAAATATACCTCCTCTAATAACCTACCCTAAAAAAGCCCTACCTCATACTCACCTACTCACCACACCACCAAACCACCCAACCATCCCCCCTCCACCTCAGACCCCTACATTCCCACAAGAATACATATATACCAACCCATTCACTCCACCAACCCTCTCCCTCACCCAGCCCATCATCTTCTTCCTTACACCCCGACTCTACATCATCCCTATATCCAAGCTTCCTCGTATCTCTAATCATATAACTATAAAATCATACAATCATACAATCATACAACCATATAATCATATAATCACACAATCTATCGAAACGAGATTAGCTATTTAACTAGCTAACTACTATACCCAACAAACAGAACCCCAGTACTAAACCCCAGGACCCGTTTCAGTATAACGATAATATATAATAAGTATACCCCTAGTAAGCAACGGAGTCAGAAAGAAAGATATGAATCAAAATACTATACTATTTTTACCTAGTACAAGTACAAGTACAAGTACAAGTACAAGTACAAGTACAAGTACAAGTACAAGTACAAGTGAGTTCACGCCTTACAGTAACCGCTTCTTATAAATATGTTAGCTTAGAACTTAGAGTGCGTCGGTAGATTTCTACAGTACTTGTAGGTATTTTTCTACTAACGAGGTATGTACAAGATTTATATTTAATATTTATACAATCCAGTCTTCTCTCCACACTACAGTACCAGGTAACAAATAACAAAGAAAATCATGTATATCATACCACATTCCAAAAACGCAAAATAATCACCCATAGATAGCCAGAATATCGTTACTAACAGTAGTATATCCAACCAACAATCTATCCTATTCCCACTAACCAACCACGCAAGTCTCTATATACACCACGCCACGCCACGCCACGCCACGACCACAAACGCCCATCCACTCATCCAAGTCACATATATAATCTAATATACCAACCTCCTCCCACCTAGCCCCTACTTTGTCTCCCCACCACAAGGCCTATAAAACCTGCCCAGAAACCTGTCCACATCCTTCGCTTCTCTCTTTCCCTCTCCCTCAAGCCCAATCACCGCCCCAATAAGATCATGATTGATCGTCTCCCCAACAACACTATCATGTTTATAATCCTCATGGGAATCGACGAAATTCCGAATCCACTTTGATGCCGTCCACAAAGACCCATTCGCGCGTTTACGGATAAGGTCCAGATAGGAAGCCAGTTCGCATCTTGTCTCTACGTCTACATTCATGCTATCGAGGTAACTCTCAACGATGGGTATCAGACCGGGGAAGTTGTTTGCCGAATCGGGTTTACTCCCGTTCATGATCTCGTCGATGCTCATGAGTGCGTATTCGTCCTCTACTGGGCCGGTAGGTGTAGGAGGGCGAGAGAGGACGGCGGGGGTGGTGGTGCCAGTTGGAGTGACGCCTCCATTAGCGGAGTATGGTCGTGGGTATCTCGTAGGAAAGGGGTTCTTGCGGAAGAAAAATTTGTCTTGCAGGACAGCATCTCGTTTATGAGCTGTTTCCATATTTTCATCGGTTTTAGGAATGGGTATGTAGAAATTGAGATCGTAGCTTAGAATCGCTCGAGTGATGAGAACGATGAATACTGAAAAGGCGGCATTTTCAAAATCGGTTATTTGAATTTCCATAGGACGGAACTCGACACGCCAACCAATATCGCTACCGGTTGGTGGTGGCTTGAACCGAATGTGTTGCCAATTGGTGGATTGGAGGTTTTCAAAGTGGTCGCTTTTATCCAGATCTAGCTTTTCCAGGTCTTCGGAGAAAACAACGATTGGGTCGCGGATGAAAAGGTGAGCAAAATGGGTAGCCAAGAGAGAATCCATTCCACCATTCATAAGCTTTTGCTTCACATCGGCGTCCACAATGAGGTTTGGATCCAAATATTCTTTTCGTAATCTTGGGTCCTCTGAAATATAGGTGGAGTTAGAGGCATAACGAGACTTTGGTATTCTCCAGCGATCGTTTTGAAGAGGCTAAATTGTTAGCAAAAGGTTATCAGGGGAAGAAACGGGCATCTACCTTTTCCCCAAGCTCTTCAGGTGTTCTATCATCAACCGCTGCACTGATTTGATTCCACCTAACATCGGTGTCTGCAAGGAATCCTTTGTATATTGGCGTTGCAGCAGTTAATGCAAGCAAAATTGGGCCAAGCGGACTCAACTGATCATACATTTTTCTACCTTCCGTGATATTTTTGGCTTGGAAAGTGATTTGCAAGCAACAACTACCCATGCCAAATGCCATTGCATCCATATGAATAAAGTTATCTGGTGCTGCACCTTGCCGTACATCATCATCCTCAGGATACTTGTGTAGATCATAGTTGACCGTGGGATCTTTCCAGGGCCAAGAAGTATTTTTGTCCTTGAATACAGGAACATTAACTTGAACTTTATGACCTCTACGAGAACGAATGTTGGCGGCCAATGTAGGAAAACGAATATGAGGGTTTGCAATTTCATCAGGTACAAACTGTGAACGAAGCTTATTTCCAGATGGTGGATAGTAGGGAGTTGTGAAAGTACCAGGGCATCCAAGATGAGGGTAGGTGGTTAGGGTGATGGGGTATTCTTCAGGATTCATGTGTTCTTTCGCAATCTTTCGTCTAATCCATGTTAAACGAGCTCCTGAATTACGGGGGTTTTTTTCTTTCTTACCTCAATTTCATATTAGGTTCTACATCAAGAAGATCTCGAAAACCAATTCCCCAAGGCTTTCCGGGTGTGGCCTCTAGCATAAAGCGACCGAATTCGGGGTGGAAGATAGGAAGTGCGCCTCTGTGTTTTGTTAGAGGTGCGATGCAGGTTAGGGCACATGGTCACATACCCAACAAGCTGTAAGTCGGGCACACATCCCCCTTCCTCGGATAGCGTTTCATCGCGTGCAAGAGCATCCAGAATATCGGCTTGTCGAAGGGACAGAGTGACTTTTGGAGTACCGTCTTTGTATGTAACCACGAGATATTCGACCTAGAACACATTTAGAGGCTTTCCAGTACCCAATCTTCCTTTGACCGACCTCATCACCCCAGAGTAAAGCATCTCTTTCCTTTCCCTTTGCTTTATTCCAAACTGCCAGCAGTTGCTACCACCGATTAGTCTTGTCTCCCAGCAGTACTCTCGGAACATGTTCCCGAAATCTCACCTCTATACCCCATTCGCGGACATGATTTGCAACTTGTTTCGCCTCGGGCCAATCCAATGGGGTTCCTAAAGCCCTTTAACATTTCCATATCAGCATCAAGTTCGCATGCCTTGAACCCAAAAAGGCACCTACAAGAGACCCATTTTGGGTTAGAACTTTGGCAGAAGCCGGTTCTTCCAATCAATTGCTCAACCTGGGCTACCAGCCGGGTAATACCTTGTTTGAATGCTCAAGGTACGTTGATTCTTTGGACTGATGGCGTGCGAATCGTCCCCGATTCTGTCTGATTTCGAATGCGAGATAATGCTGCTTCTCCGATGGTTCGGTCGAAGTTTCAAAGGGGAAGGCGGAATATAAAGTGCAGAATTGGGTTCGGGAGAGGCCCATATAAGCACCGTCTCGTCTTCTTACGCGATGTTGTCGTGAAATGGTATTTCTCCAACCTTTCTCCTCGTCCGCAGATTTGTTCAGTGTTCTGCCCGTCTGGCTAAACCTTCCTTGACTCCGGGAAATCAAACAATTCTCGGCGCGGTTAAACCCCACTCTGCCAAACGCGTTTCATGTAGCCATACCGTCCAGAGCGAGCACGTAATCTATGCCGACGTTGAGTGGCTTGTGATAACACCCCGCAATTTAGATCGCAAAGAACGTGCTTGAAAAAGGAATTATGAGGATATTCTCGAGCGAATTTTCTAAGGTGAGATCTGGATTGGTAAGATGTAGGAGGTACAGTAAGAATGCATTGAATGGAGGGGAAAGTTCATCGGAGTTAGAGTCAATATCAGTAATCCGTGCACCTTGGTGGGGTGAATTGGCTATTTTTCCATCACAGCTGACAAATTTCCAGCTTCTCGTGAGGTCATGATTCAGGTGCGAGGGGTGAATGAACAGCCGAACATGCGGGGGCGGGGCAAAGGCGGCCCGATGAGATAAGATGGACCTTTACGGCCCGAGAAAAGGATCAAGGTCCGAAGTGTGGGGCGGCTCGGCGGGACTTGACAGACAGGGGTTTGCTATTTAGCCTTAATAAGAACACCAACACCGACGACAATCCAAAATATATCCGACGTTGATTTCCACGCTTACAACCCGCGAACGATCTTACAAAACTGGACCTCGGAAATACACAAGTGCCATACGCAGAAGCGATTTTCGACATCTCCTACTTAGGAGAATATCCATACCATTCTATATCCTCGCAAAAGAGATCCAAAAATGAGATCCAAAAATTCCAGATAAAATGACGCAAATGACTGCTTTTTTTTTCAGAGGATATTACAAGCGCATACTCCGGGTCCTCAAACTTCAAGACATTGATATTGTACATCGAGGAACTCATGACAAGAGCCAGTTCTGATCTGCAGCTAAAATATGCATGCGATGAGGCTGATGAAAATACCTTTCCTCAGCTGGAGCGGTCAATATTTAAGGTCATGACGATACAATGTTGCGTTCAGAAATTCAAGCATCTTGAAAATCCCAAAAATGATCCTATTTCTCAAAATCAGCTCATTCCTCTCAGCATTTCGCAGTTTGTCGTTCCATTGATACTTGGTAGAAGCCTCACCAATTAACCGTCCGAAGATTAGCATTACATGTTTCCTCGTCTTGAATTGATGACGATATCATGTAGTATCTCGGCGATGTGTTGTTCTTTAAATATCATCATCCTCGTCATCAAAGCGTTCGATATTAATGAAGCGAGATATGTGGTATTTCGGTCCATGTCTCATTCTCTGAATAGCTTCAATTCAAGCCCCGAAACCTACATACGAGCCGCATAGCAGACGAAGATCTCAGCCTCAACAAGAGCCTAACTTCAAGTCACGAGCCGAGTTTCTGTTGTACAACTCGCAACCTAATCCTATCTTATCTCCAACGATCAACACGAACACGACAACACACATCCAAGTCAGCTTGTGCACCCTCAACAGCAACACAAGATCTTACCATGACTCTTGCAAATCTCCCCTCACATCACATGCCAACCAACTCACCTTGTATTGCCCCCCATCTGTCCCACGTCACCAAAGATCCCACAAGCTCCGCCACAACACCAAAGTCAAGGCAAGGCAAGAATTTACCAACCGGCCACCTGCATATGCTATGCTTCGTACCACCTCTGCCGGACCCAACTCCCAACCACCCAGCGATCCACGATCCGATCCTGCACAGAGTGTTTGTCTCATATCTTCCTTGATATCATGTATGCACCTGCAGACCATCATTTGCTGCAGTCAACCTCTTTTCACCTGCACAACATACATACCTCATACGTACCTCAAACCTACCATACACATACATACATACGTACAGACATCACACATACATATCGCCCTACATACATACCTCCCTACGTCAAGCACCCTTCCCATCCTCACCAACTGCACCTCAACCCCCAGTCCCACAACACCTACATGAACACCCCAAACGCACCCATCCACTCCATCTCACATCCCAAGATTCAAACATATCCTCTCAAGCCCAGTATCCACATGCCCTTGAGAAATCATGGGCTACCATCGCCTGCAAGATACCGGAAAGTAAGCTGTCATGCACCTATACCAATGCAACTCCACCATTGGGAAACCCCCTACCCTACCCTACCCAATCCCTTCCACCCTCCATCAAAAAAGGAAAACCAATCCTGAATCCCCGTTCAAATGCTGCTGCTCACTGCTGTCATCGTCACCGTTACTCCCATCCATTACGTCTCCATGTTCCCCAAAATGAAAGATTACGTATCAACCCATCCGTCCATCCATCAACATGCATTCCACACTACCCCATCCCAAATACCCCATTCAACTAGCCTAAATAAGAATATCCACCTCCACTACCCCCAAGCACCACGTGCCCACCACCCACCTCCAACCCAGAAACTCCACCCGAACACCACAACACAAACACAAACTCTCCATCCCACATCCCACATCCCACAACCATGAGCACACAACGGAGATGACAAAAGTCCCTTCCTCGCGATCCGAGATTCCAAACAAGGGGGGTAGAGATCGGTCATACGTTGTGTGAGGTGCTTGTACACTATATGTACACCCTGTGTGTCTGGGTATCGTTGTGCAATGTACCATGTACCATGTCCTTTGTACAGCTAGAATCCTAGGTGAGGAGGGACGGGAGATCTAGATGCTGTACTATACAGCTTAGTTGTACTTTTGGGGGCTTGGGGGTATACATAGTATATTGAGTTCTTGGATTGATGGGTTGGTTGGATATTTAGGATAAGGGAGCCCTGGTAGAGGAATGGTGTAGAGAGATGGACGATATCTTTGAGTAGTTTATACCGGATCGCAATCTATATATGTATGTACAGTACTGTACCTTTCCCTACTTTGATACTTTCATACGCATGTAATTTACTCCTAGCTAGCTGATCTCATGTATACGCATGATCGAGAGAGAGATGGGAGCTTGGTAGGACTTGCCACGTAGCTCGTAGCTCTTAGCTCGTAAAACAAAGACAGGTCCTACATTCTAGTATGATATCACGCGTTACAACAACCTACTATACAGTGTGTCGCCGAGTAAACAGGTGTCTAAATCTACTTCTACTTCGGCTTCTACTTCTACTTTTATATTCACATCCCAGCTATCCTCGGGACCTTGTATAATGTCCCTAGGTCTAAGTCTAAGTCTTCATCTTTCCTTCTTCATCATACAAGGTATTGTACGCCTTGTCTCATTCCATATCATTCTCTTTTCGTTTCCTTCACATGTAAAATAAACGAACACCGGTACGGTTTCAGCGTTAACTAATAAACCTGCCGCCAACACATCATCATAAAACTTCATCTATAAAATTAAAAAAGATGCCTTCTTCGAATAAAACTTAGAACGGAACTGAAATGTAATAAGTTCAGCAGGTATTTACGTAGCTCAGTAAGTAGTAGATATATATAGTATTACGTATATATATATCTCCATCCATCTCACAACATCTACAAACCGGTCTCACCGTCTTGGAGTTGTAGATAAAAAATACAAGTAAAGCGTAATACTTCTATCTTGCTCAATAAATCCCACCAATCCACCAAAACCCAAGCCTTCATTTCAAGCCTTCATTTCAAGCCCCCAAGTCCCCAAGCATCCCAATACCACTCCCTTGGACCTACCTTATCGCAATTGACTCAGAATCCCAGATCTCAAGATTCCACAGTACGATCTAAGATCCAAGATCCGACCCGAGGATCTTAGAGTCACCTTTCCGTTTCGAGAGAATTTAAGCGAGCTGGCTGGCTGGCTGTCGTGGGAGTCGGGACGGAGCGAATGAATGATTGTTTGATCGACCTCATCTTACCTATTGTATTCCTTTCTTCTCACTAAAGTAGCTTGAATACAATTCTTAGTTCTTACCGCTACGATGGTAGGTAGACAGCTTACTGTAACACTCATCTCCTAAGAACCTAGAGGAGAAAACTCCGAAGGATTTTTGTACTAGATCCTTGGAATGGGTTATCTATCATCAAGACTTACCAAACAACGTCTTGATCCTCCTCTTTAATAGCCTGATCTCAACTCTTAACCTAATCTTAAATCTTTAACGTGCGATCTACAATCTACACCCCAAGATCCCAGAATCCAAAATTAAAGATCATCACTCCCACATCCCAACCACCTCCCTACAAACACCCAAAATAAGCGATTTCAGTCTCAACCCCTTCATCCCCCCCATCCCCCTCATCCCCCAAAAAAACCCGCCCACCCTATCCAAAGACCCTCAGATCCTCAGATCACCCACCACACAAGTAACAAGTACAGTAACAGTAACAAAGCACAAAACAAGCGAATCCAATCCAATCCGATCGTGGAACCTCCATCCTACCCACAAAAAAAGGGTATAGAGATCGAGTGTACTCTTACCTGATGTACTGTATGATAATCTCACAGTGATCCTACCTACTACATACTACCATAGGAATGAGGTATTTGAGCCGAGGTGGATGGACGGATGGATGGAGGGGAAGAGTGGTCAAGAGGGGGGAGGGGGCTTTTGTCATAGATATAGATATTAGTAAGTATACGTTAGTAGTAGATAATACTAGTAGTAAATCTTCCAACCTACATACCACTCCTCAATACCCCATCAACCCCATCATCAACCCTATTAACCCCATCAACATACCCCCCCCCCCCCCCCCATCTACCCT